GTCATAGTTCCAAATCAGCTTCTTGACTGAAGAAGGCAGGAAAAGAGTCTAACATGGATTTTGAATGTTCGGGATTGTTAAAGCTATGCAAATATCTGGGGAACGGTATGTGGATTCAGCAGAAGGTTTTAGCTAATGGTCTGTACTATACAAAGTCTGTGACCACAAAAAAAGAATCTCCTTAAGCTAATCCAGATAGTTAAATACTTTTGAATCAAATTGGACTAGGCTATATCTTTCTTCTACGTGGGTATGAAGTGAGGACGATCATGTGTGCAAGGGAAAGCTGGATCATGACCTCTGCTTGGAGCCGTTCAAGGCTGCTAATGAAAGCGCAGTAGCTGAAAGGGGCAGCCCGTGGGTGGCTCAGTAAAGGCAACAGCAGTACAAAGTCAGGGGATGCTGAAAGCATGGAAGAGAGTGGCAAAGTCACCCTCTGTGAGGGAAAAGGACAGCTTCCAAGCTACCCGGGAAATGTTCTTTTTGTGCTGCTCGCTTTGTTGTCAATACACAAAAGTAATGTATTGTCATTTACTTGTGGCTCCTTCCAGTAAGAAAACCTCACTGTGTGAAGCCATCGTGTGGTTTCAGCAGTCCTCTGGCAAAAGGCACGCTATGTACAGCTGAGAGCGTGTTAGCTAAATTATGTATACAGCATCAAACTGTAATGGAGAGAGAATATCGAGAATCAGCTGTGAAGAGTAAGGAAAAGGCAGTGGGGTTTAAGACAACTGCAATGTGCTGAGTGTTGGTGCAATAAAGGAAAACCTGACTTGGACAGGAATAGATAAACTAGATTATATATTCAGCAGCTGTGAATGAAAACAAAAATACAATCTGGAGGGAATAATTCGTTTTCAGGTGGTACTTGTTGTTACAAACTTGCATCCGTAAATGAAAGATACGAAAGCAGCTTTTAAATGATTGGTTTCTCACTGCAGCCATGGACTTATTTCTTACCATACTGAGCATTGCTTTGCTGCTGCTTTGACTTCTTTCCTTTAGTCAGTCACCTTCCAGTCTGCTTCCTCTCAGTCATTTTTAATAGAACGCCTTTTTGATTACTGAAAATTGGTTGATAAACTGCTGTAATGAAAACGCTAGACAAATGCTCCTTCTTGGAACTGACATCAGGAATGTTATACAAGACATTCTTAAATATGCTGGCAGCTGCCCTGAATGTAATGAAATCATGGAAATTAGAAGTATTGCACTCTCTGTGTGGCCAGCTCAGGACTGGTTTTGGTATGTTAACAGTTTTGCTGTGAATTTCAAAAGGAATCACTTTTCCTGAATTTTTCTTTGGACATTCTTCAACATGCTTATAATTCCCACAATCAGGAAAGTTATCCTGATATTCTGAGGTACTATTCCTTTTAATTTTTTGGATTGCACGTAATTCCTCATGCCTACCTCCCTTTGTACCATACTAAGTCATTCTTCTTGCAGCAGAGAGTTTACAGTCTTCAGAAGACCGATAACTTTTCTCGTAGAAATGCATGTGTTAGAGTGAAATCCTATTCCCACTGCACACAGCAGTAAAATTCCCACAAACTTAAGCGGTTTGGATTTCACATGCAGTTCTTAGTCTTCTCTTGTATGACACTTCAGTTAATCCTTAATACATTCCTAGCACAGAAGATACCTAAATGCAGGAAAGGTAGAAAAGTAGCAATGATGCATACTTGGTGGTTCGCTAGCGCCTTTCCATGCAAGGATCACAAAGCAGCTGATGAGAGACAGGTGAGACCTGCTGCCAAGCACAAGGAACGGATATTATTTTCATTCTTCTAAAGTGCAGAGAAAGTAGAAGGGAAGGACCTCATCTCTGTGGCAATGTGTATGTGTATATAAATGAAAAGACCATCCTGGCTTCCATGTTACCTTCTCTTCGTCCGTGTTTTTATTCACCTATTGCCTATCTGTAGCTTTGATGTATTTTCATCAGGTATTCTGAATTGGAGTTTTCCAAGATGAATCTAATTTTCTTTACCTGGTTTTCAGTGCTCTAGATTCTTCTATAGTTTCTTTGTTAGAGGCTTACAAAAGTTCCTAAAGTAATTGCAGTTGTGTTCATTTGAAGTAATAATATTCCATTCTTGTCAACAATTAATGGCAGTATTAAGCAAGAGTCAACTGAACCAAAACAGTCCAGATCCATATGCTGTTGCTTAACACTTGCTATTGGAACTTGCAAGTTCTGGCTCAAGGATGAGGAGCACTGAACAGAGACTGTGGCTGCACTTGACTGCTGGGAAAGAAGGTGCAGAAACCTGTTTCCAGCTTCTTCTTTCTCCTTTCCTGTTCAGCGTGAACCTTCTGTTCAAGAGCGGTCAGAGAGACGTGAGGGTATTCTTACCGTGTTCTGGTTTGGGTTTATCTCTTGCAACAGACTTGCAAAGCCTTTCTAGAATGCAGAACAGCAGAGACATGGGTCGAAGGGTGGCTTGCACTGAAGCTAGAGTCATCATGATGCTCAGTGAGAAAACCAGCTGTTTTGAAAGGATGACGTGGAGATGGAATAGGGTGCCTACACCACTTCTGTCTCATTGTGATGCCCAGCTTTACCAGGCAACCTTACCTTCAGATGCTGCTGTTGGCACAATGCAGAGAGAGGGCTTACAAAAGAAAGCCTGATAACGCTTGTAGGTGTACGGTAGAGCACAGAAATCTGTTAGAGGCAGATTTCCATGTGCATGATGCGATGCAAACAAGATGGTTTCTGGCATGAAAAGCCTTCTGTTGAGACATCAAATCATTATGAATACTATGGCCAGAAGCTTTCATAATAAATTACTGTGAACTCATGAAAGATGGATCTTTTTTGATTTCAGAGAAAATAAATCAACAGTATGAAGTCAGCTCTGTTACAGTTTCAAACAAGAGACGGACTCCTGAAGTATTACCTACTTTCTGTAAATATCACCTATGAGCCTGTATGTAAAAGGTTAAATGTTTGCAGACTATTACCCTTTGCCTTAAAGATCAGAGACAAATTACTATTTTTACTTTACATTCTCTTGATGAGGATAATGATAAACATCTGTCACTTTGCTGCTTAGCCAGCTAAGAATCTTATTGCAATCTGTAATTTAAACAGTGAAGACACAAAAACAGAAGAAGAAAAAAAATACATGGACAAACTGTACTTTATATAGACAGCAAAAAAGAAAAGAAAAAGAATAGAAGTCAAATGCAGGGAAACTGGGAAAGGGGCATTTTCGGTCTTCAGTTACTTGGCTAAAATCTGTGGGTATATGATAGATATATGATTTTCCATTTATTTGGTATTTCACAGGGGATATTACAACTAGTTTCTTTGCAAACATGGAGGCTAAGGAAAATAGTGCATGCTTTGACTTTTCAGCATATGCAGTTTATTAACAAAGTGATTAAGGTTTATAGGGGTGTGTGTCTACTGGTGTTACAGAATTGAAAACACGATTTTCATCAAGAACTCTTTCAGTGTCTTCCACAGTCCCAAGATTTTTAGGAAGCACTGCTGATTATTTTTAAAGTCCATAGATCAGCTTGTTTTACAGTAATTCACCTGAAATTAAAAACAATCAGAACTTTTGAAACTTCCTGTACAAACATTTAGTTGTGTTTCTAAGTGGTATGTTGGTTCTTATTTCTTAACAAAAGTAACTTATCAGAACCATCATCATTTCATTTAAACTGAACTGACCAAGCCGTAGTTTATAAGGAGCAAATACAATATGGTCCATCTGCCAGTGGTGCATGAGCTGAAGCAGACCCTGCACGAGTAGATGAAACTTTTTTTTTAGGAATGGATTTCATGCAAGGAGAAGCCTCTTTGCTGACATATTGGCATATCTAGCTCAACCAGTCTTTCGCTAATGGGCTAGCTACCAGTTTCAACTGCTCAGGGAATCTGTAAAGCACTAGTGGTGTGCAAATTTTAGCTAAATGCTGTATTGTAAATGGAGTTGTGGTGACAGAGGTCTGGCTGGTATATAACTAGTTCTCGTTACTGGGTTATTCACTTTGTGCAAGTAATTTCTGTTTCTTCATGCTAGGCTTCTAGGTACCCACAGAACAGGTTTAGATTTTATAGTTCATGCTAATACGGCTTTGGTGGTTGTTTTCAGGGAGTATTATATGTCAGAGTTTGGGGAAAGAACATTGTTCTTTGTACTTTCCAGGTCGAAATTCCATTCTTTTGGAGCCTCAGAAAGCAGTTTGATTTTTGCCAAAAGGCTACTATTCTTTTTTTAGGTTTTCTTATGTTTATACAGGCCAGACCAAAGCAAAGTACATACCTTTTAGCTTCCAGTTAAAGTTCCTGGTATTTTGTTTAATTAGGTCAGCTGTTTACATACAAAGAAGTTTTCTTTTGTCCAATGAAAAAGATACCTCTAATATATAATCCATCCTATGTTACGCTGAGCCTTGAGCACTGGAACCAGTGATGCTTTTGCTGTTATCCTTCATAAATCCTTTGTTTATGTAGGTGCTATTCACATCTAACAAGTTTGAGGCTGAACTGCAGGATTTCTCACAATGGAATCAGCCTCAAATAACAAGGATTTTTTGTACCCATAGGAGGGTAAAATTCACAATCCAGATTTACGGTGCTGCTTTCTTGCATGAGTCAGGCTGACTGAATCTGTACAGTAGAAGATTTGATAATAACTATTGCAATAATTGATCTGAGGTAATTTCTTGGGGTTTCTTTTACCACCACGTGTCTTTGTCTGAAAACTTGCTTTAATATAAAATTACAAATATGTGTGGAAATACATAATGTACTTTGTGAAAAAGATCTTGCCTCTCATATTGCATTAACCTCTAAAAGTCTGGATTTCATGATGTTGAACGCTAATGTTAGACAGGCCAGTACTTCATGTTTTAACCTCCAGACATTCTTTGTATGAGTTACGTTGCTGGACTACTACAGTGTAAGTCCAAGTTTTTCCCCCAATATATTTCGTTTATGCAGTCTGAAAGACTTTTCTGTTTTTTTCTCCTCTGTGTAGACTGAAAACGATGAAAATGGCCAAGCAGACAATTTTTCAATGGATCCCCAGCTGGAGAGACAGGTGGAGACAATTCGAAATCTTGTGGACTCCTACATGTCTATTATCAACAAATGTATCCGAGATTTGATACCAAAAACAATCATGCATCTTATGATCAATAATGTAAGTAACAGGCAGGGGTTTAAATTATTTTAACATGTCTGTCAAATCTGTTATGCTCATGCAAGTACACGTCTTGAATAGCAGTGACAACAGCATGTACTAAAGAGAAGAACACACTCCCATAAATGCCACACTCTTAGAAAAAATACTCCAATCTTCTGTAGTAGGATGAAGTTCTGCAGCCTTCTGAAAGACTGGGCACTGCCTTGAGTGCTTACTCCAAAATGCTAAAGATTGAATTCATTTACATCTAAATCAAAATATAAGTTATTATTTAAAGATAAATAAAGGATCTTTCTTTTTTTTTTTTCTGTCTTGCTTTTGATATAGCAGGAAAAGGGAGTTGGGAGCTCCACCTAGGCAGTCTGTGAGAGCAGCAGAGCAGCATTGTGTTTGCTTGATTTTCAATCTGTAGCCCTTTGTCATGGCTTCTTAAAGCAGTTCTTGTTTGATTTGGGTTTCTTTAGATTTTCATGTTACCGTTTTCAAGGAATAAATCTAGAAGCCTTAGACACTGTTGTTTAGATAAGCAGATGTGGTTGGTTGATTTATTGTGTGTGTCTTTCTTAGATCTGAAGATTATTTGGTTAAAGAAATGGCTTTGAGATATCATTGTTTTTCCACTGCACTAGTATTTCAGCCTCTGCTTCCTGGCAGAGTTCAGGATGGACCTTGCTGAAAATGAAACTTAATATTAGTGCCACTGCTGCCATATAAATTAATAATGGAGAGTTATTTAATTCATTAATTAATAATTAACTAAACTCCTTTTAGTTATGGGTAGCACCTTTTCTGTGAGGTCATCAAACTAATCAGTTTTTAAAATACAGTATGCTATAAGGCAAATCTGTTTAGAAAGTAGCATTTACTTTGACTCAGAGCCACCTCTAGCCTTAGTCTGATGGATTTCATTAGTCTGTGGAATTTGTGTTGCACTTAGAGTTAGGTGGTTGGACAGGAAATTTCAGTGGGATTTCCTGGTACGTATAATATGAGCAGAACTTTTGCACAAGGTGAGAGATACTCCACTAACTTCTTTAGGCTTAAAGGAGTCAGGCTCCAAATAATGCTCTAGTCATGGGTGAGTTTTTACAAAAGAGCATGGGAACAGTGGAACTACCCTTTTTTTCCCCTAAAGTCAGCCATGCTCTCAAATTTATAAGGTGGGCATGTTCCCTGGCTCTTTCCAGATCACAGCTAGCAACCTGCTCCTTCCACTTAGCACAACTTCAGTGCCTTTTGAAAGGACTGTTTTTTAGTTCTCATTTCATAAACTGCAGAGTTCGGTGAGCAGTTCCTTTTGAAAGTTTACATTAAATTTTCTGCCACTCACCTCCTCATATGGAATAGTTTAAGGGTCTCTGAAGTAGATGCTTTAGTCAGAAGCAGAATACTTTTAAGACTTCGTACTTTCAATCTCATCAGCTCTTACACTGGTAAAGCCTGTCATGCTGGCTGACCAGAAACAACATGCTTACAACATCGTCTGCCTCATAGTCCATAGCTGTGTTTGGGCTTGCTAGTGAGCTGAGACCTACACCTCGATCCTAGAATTCAAGTTTGTGGCAAAGAATCAAAACGTTTTAAAGGATGTTTTAGACATTTTTAAAGGGGAGTTGGAGTCGAGAGTTGGGGTTGTTCAGCCTGGAGAAGACAAGGCTCCAGGGAGACCCTCTAGCAGCCTTCTGGTACCTAAAGGGGCTACAAGAAAGCTGGAGAGGGACATTTCACAGGGGCATGTAGTGATAGCACAAGGGGTAATGGCTTTAAACTGAAAGAGGGGAGATTTCAATTAGATTTAAGGAAGAAATTCTTCACTCTGAGAATGGTGTGAGGCACTGGAACAGGTTGTCCAGAGAAGTTGTGGCTGGCCCATCCCTAGATGTGTTCAAGGCCAGGTTGGATGGGGCTTTGAGCAACCTGTTGTAGTGGCAGGTATCTCTGCCCATGGCAACAGGGTTGGAACTAGATGATCTTGAAGGTCCCTTCCAACTCAAACCATTCTATGACTGTGACGAGCGAGACTAGAAACACTAATGCACTTGTTCCTGTGCAGCATAGGCAGTACAATACCATATTAAAAACAGTAGCTAAAATATAAATTTTAAAAAATCAATGCTATTAAAAAGAGAAATAAATGCTCGAATTAAGACTGCTAAGCCACACCAAAAGGTTGTGCAAAGACCTGGAAAGCAGTGGAGCTGTGATGAAAGGTGGGTCCTGTTAAGTAGTGCATGCGTTCCTTGGAGTCTTCAGAAGTCCAACCTATTCACCAGGCGTTAAGTGAAAACTCACTTCCTCCTCCTTAATAAGCATATTCTGTACTTTCTGCTACCCCATTGTGTTGCCTCCAAAACTCTGGAAACAAATTGATCCCAAGGAGTTTGTTTCCGTGACGATTGTAACCTCCCAAGGCCTCCTGGAACTTCCTTTCCAGTTTGTGGGCCTGTAAATGAGCACTTAGAATTCAAGGGAAGTATCAGATTCAAACTCAGTGTACAGAGAATAATCAGATGCTGTCCCTAAGCATATTTTGAGGCCTAAGCCTAGATTGTTGTATTCCAAATGCATCCCTTATTCTTCCCTTAGGGTGGTTGTTGATTACCTTAAAAAAAAAAAAAAAAAAGCTTTTACCACACAGAACTGCATTGAGTTACTGTAGCAATTCAAAAATGCACAAACAAAACACACAGTTCAGAATTTGTGTTTCACGGTGCCTATGTATCGCAGATTATACAAGAGCGGTGGTCTTATGGTAGACAGTGCATGCTTCATAAGCAGTGCTGATACTGATCTCAGCTGAGTAGAAAAACTCCAAAGTACTCCTTACTACCACACTTAAGGTTAGGGAATGGACTGTGTTTGCATTTGAGGCAGTGATGCATGTTGTAGTCTGTCTGCTGATGAATGAAGTCCCAAGCCTATCTTGACCCGTGTCGGAGTGACGGGGCAGGCTTTGTGGCGTTGGCGTTCCAGATACTTGCTATGGTTCAGCTTTGACCGCAGGTCTGATGTCTGTGAAGAAAAATGTTTTAAACAATTCCTCTGAGTCTTTCTGTTTTCTAGAAAGGAGCAAAGGCCTGAGTAAGTGTCACTTTCCTTTCCTTTTCCAAGCTGGAGAAAGTGGCTATTGTGGAAGATCTTCCTCTGTCTAGTACAGTGCATCTGTTTGCAGAAGGAAGGAGGTTGATCCAAGAACCATCCTTAACGCTGCAGTCTTCCCCTTCCAGAAGAGTTCAGGGAGTTACTTGAGTCTCCAGCTAGTGGCAGACAGGGATCTCTCATGATAATTGTCACAGGCTGATTTTTTTCAAACAGATATTTGTGGTTTAACAATGCTTTTACAATCAGCTCTGGCCTTAATCTAATTTTAGGACTTCTTCTTTTTCTTTTTTTTGAAGTGATGCCATTAAAATACTCATTTCATCAAGTAGAATGTGATGCTGTTTAACTATGATATCTGTTTTTAATGTGGAGTTTTTGGCAATCATGAGGAAAGTAGTATACTCTGGCTCTTGATCAGTACAATCTACTGGAAAACAGCAAGAGACTCATGGAAAATTTTTGCAGACTTTGCTGAGAATTTGTGCATCTCCTGTCATATGTGAATGGGGAATGACAGTCAAGCCCAGGCAATATGGTTTTGTTTCCCTGTAAGGTCCGTCCTGACTTTCTTTTCCCTGCTAGGCGACCAGAAAGGGTCCCATGCCCGTGCAGTTCGACTGCTCTCACTGAGCTCTTCTGAACACAAACTTTGCCTTAGTCTGACTGTCAGGATTTAAATCAACGTTGCTAAACTAGCACAAACCCATGTGCAAATGGAGCTCGGGTTTATGTAATCAGAATCTTGGGAATGTATTATCGTTAGTATCTGCAGCTCAAAAAAGCTTTATAGAGCAAAAAGCCAGATGAGAAATAGATCAGAACAGCAACAAAAGTCTCAAATGCAAGGATTTAGTAGGTCAGCAGTTGGTCTATTTACCACAGTCTTATTTAATCAGAGTACCTCTAGCTTTTTATCTCTCCTAATGTGGCCCAGGTTGCCATAACCAGGGCAGGCGTAGCAGGAAATCAATATAGTAAATTAGATTACTTGGAGACTTCTCCCTTCAGTTCGAATGTGTGTGGATGGGATGTTTAGAATCTGGCAAAGTTGTTGGAGATGAAAGAAACTGTCTACAGTAGGGTAAATTGTTGCTAAGAAAATAATTGACAGAGATGCTATAAAGGCTGAAAATTCCCATTCCCAGGGGAATTTGGTATCTGATGGTATTGCTAATGGCTGCCATTTACCTCTCAGCCCTTTAGAATTGGACCAAAATGCCAGCTGACTCCTGGGACCCGTTGGGAAGCCTGTTCGAAATGAACTGTAAACATAGGTGTTACTTCAGAGACACAGACCACTGTCAACTCCAACCATGTCCGATGTTTCAAAGACAGGCACAAAAAAAGGCCACAATGCATTGTGGAGCAACTGCACAAAACCATCTTATCCTCATATGTGAAACGTTGTCTCAGAACGTGGCTTCGTAATGGTGTTAAGCCCATTTGCAAGCAGGCAGCTGCTAAAAGGTCCAGTCCATCCTTTTCCAGCTGCACATGCCAGCCTTTCCTTGGGCCACAGCTGGACTTCAGACTGCCGCACTGTCAGCTCCATCTGAGTTCAGCATTTTTAGTCCCTGATCTGACCTAACAAAAACTGCATGACCGGTGGAATTGATGTAAATAAGACAGTAGGAGGAACAGATTAAATTTAGATATGTCTGTCTCCTGGTTCTGTAGCTCTCACACTGTATTTGTTCAGTATTGAATTTTCAATAGGTTTGTTTGTTTATTTGTTTGGTGGGGGTTTCTCTGTCTGATGAAATAGGTAAAAGAATTTATCAACGCAGAGCTCCTGGCTCACTTGTATTCTTCTGAGGACCAAAACACTCTGATGGAGGAGTCGGCTGAACAGGCGCAGAGGCGCGATGAGATGCTGCGCATGCACCAAGCCCTGAAGGAAGCCCTGGCAATCATTGGCGATATCAGCACTAGCACTGTCTCCACCCCGGCACCCCCCCCGGTAGATGACTCTTGGCTTCAGCAGGCCCGAAGGTAAGGATCCTCAAATCTGCATTGAATTTAATTAAGGACAGGCAGATGTGGTCAGCATCAGCAGCTCCCTCCCTACCTCTTTTGGGGCAGATACTCCTCCAGGTCTTTAATGACATTTGTGAGGAAAATCAGAGCTTTTTCCCACATATACATGTTCTATGGATATGTATGTGAACACCAGACAGGATATTTGCCTTGTAGACCATTCAGTGGATTTACAGCTTATCTGATGCTTTAGATTGCAGCCACTTCTGTCACTCCAGTTGTGTATCCACATGGCCGCCTCTTGCAAGCTGTTGTAAGACTTCAGCATGTCAGGCTCCATGTCCTAGAAAATCCACTTAACAGAACATCGTTACAGCTCTTACTATTAAAATCCATTAGATTTACCTCTTTGATCATATGTTTATTTCTGACTATCATAAGGCATTCTGTCTGTGGGAAAGGTAAGTGTGAGACTTAAATATATGTGATGCTCTGATGCTGACAGCGAAGGAAAATGCCAAGAAAAAACAATTGTCATAGGCATAAAAAAGTTTCGTTTCTGTTTAAAAAATAAAAAATGATAAAATTAAATTAAAAAATAAAAAAAATGACGAGAAACCCAAACCCTCACCTTACTGAGCTTCTTAAATCTCTTGATATTTCACTAGATCACCTCCTCCAAGTCCCTCCACGCAGAGGAGACCTACATTAAACAATCCCCCAACCAGACCTTTATCTGGCCGAGGACCTGCTCCTGCAATCCCATCTCCAGGCCCTCAGTCGGGTGCTCCCCCGGTCCCGTTCCGCCCAGGACCACTGCCTCCATTTCCAAGTGGTGGTGAAGCCCTTGGAGGACCTCCCCAGGTTCCCTCTCGGCCGACCCGGGCTCCTCCCAGCGTCCCAAGGTAAGAAGTCTCATCTTCCCAGTGGTGGGCATGGTTCTCTCCCTCTAGCATAACAGACAGATCCTGCACTGTGTCAGAAAGTCGAGCACCGTTGTTGGCCAAGTCTTGTAACAAAGCAAAATTGGGCATTCCGTGCAGAGAGTCAAAGGTGTTTCGAGAAAATCAATTTTTAGCACAAATCCGACTTTTTTGAAAAGATAGAAATTTTTTTCATAAAAAAAAAAATTCCAGTCAGTCAATTTGAAGACGGCAGATTTTCTTACATTAAGAACCCCTGTTCTGATTGTGTTGTACCCACGTAGGGGTTCACAGAGAGAGAGAGAGGTCATCTACCCCTCCACCAGAAGAGGGGCAGGGGTACAACTCCTCACTTCTGCCATTCTGAGTCCTCACCAGAGGCAGTAATGGCTCTTCTGGGAGAGAACAAGAACAATCCTCATAGAACCAGTGGAACAAACTGATAGGAGTCTGATTCCTACTCCACAAAGCAAGTAATTTACAGCTAGCTGAAAACAGCCCATAGTTGTCTAACAGTGTAGATCATATGGTACAAAACAATTAGTTAAGGAACAGAATTTTCATCACCACATCGTTTTCTTCCCTTCCCAGGGCTTTGCATTTATCAGTACTTTTTGAAGTAGCTTTGCATATTTTACAATTTTGTGTGGCATTAACTGCTTTTTTCTGTAAGTTATATGAATAAAATGTCCTTAATATTTATTCTCACAATGACATAATACACATAATCACTTTTATATATATATATGTGTTTGAAAGCCTCTGATTCGGAAGACTTTGGTAACTTCTTCAATTATGAGAGGCATGGGCAGATTAGGCAATGTTGGAACAAAGGGGTTTCTCAAATTTTAATAAATTAACTGTTACATTAAAATTAGTCACAGTTTGAAAAAAAAAAAAAGCCAATTAAACAGAAGTAAAAAGAAAACATGCACTTTCTGAATTTTAGAAATGGTAGTTGAGAGAGAAACTTTGGAGGAAAACTTTCTTTTGAATAGGTGAGATCTGTTGTAGTTGTCAGTAACTTAAATTTGAGGCTCAGTGTTTCTAATGTAATTACCCTGTATAATATGGAGAATAAATAAATGACGTATATCAAAGGAATGAAGTACTTTTATATATTTGCTAGGCACAGGGCTTTGTTGCATCAGTGCCCAGCCATGAAATACACTCATTTCGTCTTAGTGGATGTCCTGTAGTCAGGGGAGAAACCTAGAGCTGCCTTTCTGGGTACTAAACTTTGCACTGAAGAAGTCCAAGTGGGGTCCTCTCATAGGGAGAGCCCGGAACTGAGCTGAAGGGCAGTGGCCCAGTGTTTCCCCTGTGCCATCAGAGAATAAATCACATAGTAGATACAGAAATGAGGTCCAGTGTTTCGTCAGTTGTACTACTGGAGAGAACCATAGCTCCCTGGCTTCTCTCACCTTGCCTTGCGAACGTGCGTGCCTCCTTTGTCCTGCCTGGCTGTGATTTTGCATGAGCTGGCTTGCCAAGAGCATGTCTGATGGTCATCTTTTTGATGCTAAAGTGATAGGTGGGACGGAGACCAGAAAGGAATTTTCTAGCGCACAAAAGACACTTGGGTAAGCAGCCCACAAACAACTCAATTCGTGACTGCCGCTGGTGGCACAAGAAGCCGTGGCTGATAAAGGAGGTCAGTGGTTTTAAAATGCTGTAGCTGGAGAGATAATTGAATGTACGACTGCCTGACATTTTTGTGGAAAAAATATCTGCAATACACATCTTCTGGCCTGGATCCTAGGCATCTTTTTTAGAGCTATGAAAGCCTCAAACGTAAAAAAAATCTCTAATGCTTAAGAATGAAGGAAGGGTTTGCCTTTCACTGGAAATTCAGGTTTCTCTTGCTGACTAAACTCTGAGAGAGGAGATCCCAGGGCAGGGGCTGCAGGGGAAATCACCTGGGGGGGACAGCGTGGCCGGCTCTGCGCCTATCGAACGTTTCTTTTGAGCCCTGGAATTTCTGCTACGCTTGGTCTGGTTTTAATAACAGCCTTTGCAGGATTGTAGGAAATCGACTCAGAAAATGGGTCTGAGATATTAAAAGGGGAAAAAAAAAAATAGTTTTGAGGAAGAGTTCTTGTGGAAACTTGAGCTTTCTTTGTGACTTATTTTTGAAGTGGGGCTCTGTGCTCTGACTGCTCTACCACCATTTTCTACAAAGATTCCTTGAAGTGTCAGGATCTCTCATATCTAGGGAAATAATTTAGCTTCCTGAGTAGAAAGTTGTATTTTTACAGTTCCTCTACCTTTCCAAAGGAGCTTTTTGTTGCAGCCCTCATCACTGTGACATGGAGCTGAAAATCCTGACGTGCCAAAGAAATATAAGCTTTCTGTTTTCTCCTGGTCTGCCTTAAGATAAAAAGATCATTTTCAGGGGCAAGATTTGGACTGTCCTTTTCCAATGAGCGGCTTAGCACATGCTTGGTTTGGAGAACTGGCCACCTTATAGTGATACAAACCTCTTTAAAAAAATCCTTTTTTCTCTCAATTTTATTAGCATTTAATCAAAGAAATTGTACAGAAATTGTGAACTCTCAGCATTTTTCACTGTTCCTCACTTACTGCACAGGGAAAGGAAAAGGATTAGGGGAGCAGGAAATAATTTTCTCCCTTGCTTCGCTCTGATTCTAAAGCTGTTCTGGGTTATGTGCTCTGAATATTTCTGTAAGGAAACAGAAACTATTTGCATGATACATGCCTCTTTTAATTAATCCCACTTGAGGTGGGTGGATCTCTCCCAGCAAAGCCTGTGAGTAAAAGCCCCTGGCTTTAAGGGCTTGATGCCAAAGCATATATGATTTGTGAAATATTCCCCACTGCCAGAATTCAGATTATTCCCCCTCTCTGTTAAAAGACTGCAGTAGTATTTTGAAAGAAAATGCAGCTGTGCGCTCGCTGTGGTAAGATGGCTTCAAGCAGACGCTAGAGCCACTTTAGCTTACGATGTTGTGTGTGTGCCTGCCTCTTTGGAAAAGCCTCATCTTGACCAATTTTAGTTCTACTGTGGATGCTTTGATTTATGGCTTTTAAATGTCCTGAATGGGAATCTCAGCTTTGCCACGAGGAAAACAATTGAATTGGAAATGTTTTTCTCCTGGCAGCAGAGCCCTTGGTATTAGTGGGGGTGGGAGGGTGCTCCCCTTGTCTCTCTGTGTCCTGGTCTGCAGTGCTACTGTGGATTCACGAAGGCTTTCCCAGTGAAGCACTGGAGATCATTACTCACTTTACCAATAAAACATAGATGGCCCTGTGTGATGTGGAACCCTGGAACCTGGTTAAACAGGGGTCTTGAAAGGCTGGACCATCCACTCAAGCAGGCAGGAACATAAATGCTCTCGAGCATGTGTGTGTCACCCTCAGGCATGCCAGTGCTCAGTCCTTGGTGGCTGAGGATGGTCTTTACATGTGAGAAAAGCAGTAGGGAGAGAATTCCAGTCGTGCTGTTCATGAACAGTCCCATACTCTCCCTACCACCTCTTTCAGCTGTCTCCCTACAATTTACTTCAACCCACGGCCAATCAGCATGGAAGAGGTGATGGCTGCTATGTAGCTACATTTTATTATGCCACTGAGGCTAATTACATGACCTGTTATGTTTGTAACTAATCTACATTGTAAGCCATCATTACGTATTTCTGCCAACCCAGCACAAAAAAGTACTTATACTTGACAGTAATTACAGTTAGAAAATTCCAGACAAAGCCAGCAGCATTGCAGAAAGCATCACTGCCTGACATTTCCTGGACTGCAGGCTCCGTACTCAGTTCTTTGACTGCCAAATATCAACCATGAAGTAAGTTTTCTGTGATGGATTTTTACAGATTAGAGTTCTTTGGGAAGATTTAATGTAATGTCTAACCCTGTACATTGAATGATAAGGGGATCCCTTGCAAAAATCACACGTGATCCTCTTATTAAAATCTGTCATAGTGCATAGGAATATAAGGCCAGAAGACTTATCCTGCCTTAGCATAGGAATCTCTTCTCTTCTGAAAGTTTGACCTTACAGCCTTAAAAGCTTACTACTATATTTTTTTAATGGAATATAAATAATAATCAAATAGCCATTGCATCAAACTCTTCTGGCAGGATGAATAAATGCACACCTTAAAGCATTTGCATGATGAGTTGGATGTTCTCAATCTAAACATCCAAGTAGAAGAGCACAGCTTCATCCAACAGTAGAATCTATCTGACCTCTTTGAATGGATCTTCAGTGGAGGTTATATTCAGAAAATATAATCAGCAATTAGGAGTGTTTCATGCAAGCAAAAAGACAAG